TTTCCTGGCATCACACCGTATAGTCAAATAATTTAAACATGTAGTTCTGAAACATTATGTTCCACTGTGACTATATATATTGGCTAGGTTGTCATGTGACATTCTTATTTGAATATTCCAAATAGTTTTGCTATAACATCCTTCACATATGTGTATGCTGGTCTAGCATGTGCCTGTTATAAATATTAGTGAGCTATAAGATTCACAGTTTCAAGATTGGGGGATCTTACAAAGTTATAAAGACTATAGACACAAACAACCAGTACACGTATGCCTGAACAATTGTCACTTGGCCAGAACAATATTTGTAACACGTCTCGTTTAAAATCTGTTTTCAGAATTACGCTATTATATTTTTGACTGAATTCATGACTAATCAGAACTGATAAAATACACACATCTTTCAATCCTGATATTTTGTTATGTATGGTAAAATTTCTGAAATTTTGGCCAGCTTAACTACAGCTTATGTTGGCCCTGTAGAAGAGGACCATCTGTGGATAGAATCTTCTCACAGTCAAGTGCTATCTGATATTACTGATGGTTGAGTTCCAGAACCTAGAGAACCGGTGGTTCCTCTCATCACTAAAACAAAGTTATCTGAGATTCCTGTCTCAAGGCAAGCTAAGGAAACGCCTGCTACTCCTCTAAATCCAAGCTGGCCTGCTCCACTAGATATGCAGTGGACTCCACTATCACTAGTGCTATATACGTAATTGTGTTTAAATCTTTTTTATTTTATTTTGTTTGCTTAATTTTTAATAATAAAACATTATCCTCCTTCTTCAGCAGTCAAAGAGTTTGTGGTTTAGTGAAAGGCTGATACACGAATAATCTATAGATAATTTCGATGGACTTTGCTCTTCATTTACACTGATTTGAAATAATTATCTCCAATTATCATGATTTTATGTTATTGAAAGTGTGATCGACTTCACTCATTATTTTTAAGAGTTAGTCACAATTCATATTATGATTCTTTGAGTGTGATATATGAAATAAACCTTCATCTTCATGGGTATCTTCGTCTACATATAATGATGTGGTACAAAAGTTGATCATATAAAGTTTTCTTTCATTTTAGGTTATCCAAAATAATTACCTTCATCTTTACATCGAGATTTTTCATTTCTTATGTGTGCATGTAAGATGCTGTATTGAAATTTGGTAAATGAAAGTTTTCAACTAATTTTTAGTTTCATTATGTTGCAAATTCGATTATTGCAAAATATGTGATTGATGTTAAAGGGTCTATTTTAAATTTGTGTTTTGTAATATTGCATTAATGTAATATTGATATTTATTAAAAGGTTTATTTTTAATAAGTATCATTAATGATCATTATTAAATGTATTGTACTGAATTTAATACAATTAACTATTCAGTTTTTCTATGTATCATGTGTTTATCGTCAGTACTAAAATGCTATGATTTTACATTACATCATTATAAATTATTATTTAATCGCTGTTAAAGGGCATTTCTTTGCAGCATCTAATGTCATAGCCACTGAATATTATTTAAGGGTCATTTTTTATTATTGTCACTTTGATTCTTTGTTATAGGAATTTACTTGTTGTGTAAGTGTTTTGTCAGGCGCAAGAAATAAGAAACTATAAGAAAATGGTTATTCTGCGGTTTGGAATTTGTTTATTTATATTTTATTCCATTTTTGATTAGGACAGCCGAGGACTGTCTGAAAACAAGGGTGAATAAGATCTGGTACTTAGATTTTATTTTTGTCGGATATATGCACTTTCGAAGCACTGACAAACTTTCACATATTGGGAATCTATCTCATGCAGTACTGTTCTCATTTTGTATACACATGTTTCACACGGTCAAGGTATGTATCCTATTTAGGTATTTTTAAGCACTTTTCACAGTTGGTCAAGATATATTTTTGAATCTTCTATCTATATCACCTGGTAACGTCAATGTGTTTAAGTTTAGAAATTCCTGGAGGATAAACACGTCATAATTTCACTGGAGACAACCAATGACGAGGGTTGTGCCTATGTTTAGAGAGGGCTGACATTATTGTTTTCGTGTGTATAATGTCATACTCTTTCATTTTAGAACAGAATCTCCAGAATACATCTTCAGAATCCAAGGAACTTCTTTTTGTAATTCACAGTTGTTGTCCCATGGTGTATGCACTCATCTTTTGACTTTCTGTTGTTGTATTAAAGTTAGATTTTTTTGTTTCACGTTGTTTCCAGTCTATGTTTTTCAACTAAGTCAAGTCACATTTTCAGTTTCAATTCCATTACATATATATATGCCCTGGCCGTTCTATCCGTTATTTGCAGTTACAACCTGAGAGATAAATCACGGTACAGGAGAATACTCGAAAGCTTTGTTTTGAAAACATTAGTGTTTTACTGTTAATTTTATGACATAACAGAGGCGTTCAAAGAGGAAATAACCTGATTACAACTTAAACACGTATTTCGAAATACCCAAATTATCAGGAAATTCTAACTTATAACTGGCTGTGAAATTATTTTACTATTACATTCAAATAAAAATCATTGATATATAAAACAAATTCGTTTATCTACACGTTTGCTTTTATTTAAAAAATATGGCAAGAAAGTATCTTTTAACTATCTTAATAACAAAATGAGGAGCCCTCCACTGAATATTATACATACCCTGTAAAACATACTAATTACACTGCTTATAACATTCTCTGATATAACATAAATCGTAATGCATGCTCACTAAATGTAAAACCACAATATTACTTTAAAACGATTTTGGTACAGAAAAATTCTAAAAAAACAACAGAAAATTATAAAGTAATATTTGAACGGTTATAATATTGTACACTTATAAATAATACTTAGAAAACCCCTGTTCCTTCGTATGAAGTAATAACATAAACATTCTTTTGTCTACGAAATAATAAAGTGGGAATGTATAAGGACAATTTTCTTTAGTGCTAAAACTAAACGTTATTACAATATTATACAATGTTAAGATTAACGTTATTCCACTTTTATCCAGTGTTCGGCCTAACACTACTTCTATTTCATCCAGTGTTTAATGTTACTATTTCATTCAGTGTTAAAATTTAAATAATGATAATATCAAGAGTAGCTAAATCAAGGCTGTGTGTAAATCTGGTTGTAAATTTTGTTAATGTATTTATTGTGTACAAAGATCGTGTGCACATTTGAAATTATTTAGTATATGTATAATATATATATATATATATATATATGTTTTTGTGTAGTAAGGATATACATTGTGATTGATGATGGTGTAATTGTATGTATATGTACTATAGTTTATGGTTCTGAACTTTAAACAATTATTTCAATGTTAATAAAAGGTTGATTCTCACCAATTCACTGTTTAAACGTAACATTATTTTATTTTTAAATATTCCTATTCTATCCGGTGCTAAACTTAACGTTTCTATGTTATTAAATTTTTAGCCTATCTAACATAGGCACTCTCGACAGAGGCGGCATTTATTTCGTTGGTTTCACTGAGGCAGAACCGAGAGGAAAATTTAGAATTGTTGTAAAGATCGAAAAAATGAAAAAGTAATCCTTTGGAGCATGCTAAAAATCTATTAAGATTACTGTAAAACTCGCAATAATGGGAAAATTAATAAAGTAATGGATATTGAAATTCGTCTGGGGTATAACCAAGAACATCAGTAAGTATTATGGTGATCTAAGATGAGGATTTGAAAAGTTTTCGGCACATACCCTTTATAGCATAGTAGATGTGTTTATAGAAAAGACACATCGGACCATCTGCTGTGCCCACCGAGGAGAATCGAACCCCTCGATTTCAACGTTTTAAATCCTTAGACTTACCTCTGTCCCACCGGGGGACTTATAGTATAGATGTTTGTATTCCATCCAGTGTTAAACTTAACGTTCCTGTATCATTAAATATTGAGCATAATTTTCCCATTCAAACCATGAAAAACTTAATGTTTGTTGTATTTTATCAAGTGATGTTCCAAAGCTGGTAATTCACTTGGGAACTGTATAGATACTTGTAAAATTTGATAATATTTCAGCGTAAAAGTGAAAACAAACTACTTTTGTCTGGAAACGTCAACCGGACATTAAATAATTTAAATATGAATTGTTGGATAACTTAAGATAACTTACCTATAAGTAGTAAAATGATTGAATAGAGACAGTTTGAAATTGGATATTAAGATAATAAAGATAGTCCTATACAATCACATACACTGCTGTTATACACTGTCAACGAAATGAGGGCATTTAAAGGTGTAATATTGAATATATGAACGTTACCTTTAATCTCGGGAGTTAAATCGCAATTACTGTATATGCTTGTAAAATATTATTATTAATAAAATATTGTATATAATGTTTATAAATACTTGTCTTGTAATTTTGGCAACGCCAACGTTTATATTTGTAATCATTACTGGGTTAATCTTTATTAGCCGCGACATAGGGCTCATAGAATGGCTCTGAGTTTTTTGGCTCATAGCACCGTCATCTCTTGACCGACCTGAGATCTAATTACAGTTTTGGACTCAGGAGGTCAAGCCCTTTCGATTGATGTATTTGATCACGCCCAAGAATTTCAATTTGAGGATAGGTTGGTAGAAATCCTGATGAGTAATAAAATCGAATCGCCCCACGCTTAGCATTACTGGCGCACCAAAACATAGTTAGTAAAAAGGGAAAAAAGGTCTCATAGATTAATTTATTTTAATCCTGCTAAAACTAATTTCAAGGCTATTGAGGATTCCCTCTTGTTTTTCATCTAATTAGATAACTTTGAAACATTGTAAATGCAAAATCTAATAGTAAACCCTAATAAAATTAGTTAAATTGATTATAATTAAATCAGTGTAAATAAATACACTTAGACTATCCTAACATATTTCAGTTTCTCAGGATACACCTAAAGCGTATTTCTCTAAACTAGTTCTAGATTTAAATTAAGATTAAAATAACAAAAGAGAGATTTAGTTCTGTTTCAGCATGGTAAAGTATTACAGAATATGCATGAGGCATTTCTTGATTTTTTTTAATTTCCTGATTATTTCTGTGTAACAGATGCTGAAAAAGTAACGTCATACACACTTCCTTTGAATGTTATTATTAAAATATTTCAAACAAGAAAATGAGCTCTAGAACAAAAATGTTTTTGTTTGTTTCTTTGTTTTAGCGCAAAGCTACACGATAAATTATCTGAACTCTCTCTGTCGATCAATGGGAAGCGAACCCCGAATATTTACGTGGTAAATCCGTAAAGTTACTGCTGACCCATTAGGGAATACAAAGATGTTTGACGTCAACTCACCGGTCAGATCTGAAAGTATCTGGACAGTCGAATAAATAGTTTAAAATTTTATGGTTTTGGGCTTAAATAAGAGCTTAGTTTGGGGAAAAAATGCAATACATAATGATTTATTTCATGGTTCCTTTATTTTATTTTTTTCGGATTATATTTTGATATCGTAAAACACGTTTTTTATGGTAGACAGGTTCATAATAGGGTCTACTTCTCTGAGTTTATGTATTTTAAACTAAGTTTGATGTGGACTAAGTGCTTTAGTTAAACTATATATATAAGAAATTGTTAACTAGAACGGCATTACTTTTCCATAACGACGATAAACAACCAGGACAAAGCCCCATTAGTGTTTAAGTACAGCCGCCTCTATTTTTTTCTGTAAAAGGCAGGCAGACATTAAAATATTTAAATACAGAAATGTCCGCGAGGAGAAAGTATCCGATTCTTTTCTAAATTTGATACATTAAAAATGAAAAAGTTCAGCATTGCCGCCTATATCATCGCTATTAAATATAGGAATTTACGAAACACAAATACACTTTCTATTTTAGCATTATGAATTCGTTGAAATATTCATCAAAGAGGTGTTTATGGTATACGAATAACTCTCGCTTAGAGACTACAGAATGTATTATGTGTAGATATAGTTGTATATATATATATTACAGAAACTTCTATCATTACAGTAAGCAACAACATACATTATCAAATTTGTGGACTTATATGCACACCATTAACTCAAACTTTTATGAATCTTTTAATTCTACACGTTAGGACACATTATACATCGCAAGGGACATCATGATGACCTCAGTCTCGAAAACTTATCTGGACATCGCTGTTGAGGTGTTTGTCGGAATTTCGGAAACAATTAACAGCTTTCCTCGCTAGGACGTCTAGAAGCAATTCGGGATCTTGTTGTCAAGATATGATCTCCTTCGAATCAATGTTTCCTAGACTACTGAACTGAATCAATGACAAATTGTTGGATCGCAGATTTGACTCTTTCCTAACGGGTTTAGTGTCTCCTCCACACATGATGGCAAATTTCAGCTCACGGCACAACTCCACACACAGCGGTTTCTGAGGAAACCAAAACCCAAATCCATAATTACACAAGCGAATCACTTAGGCACATTATGTTTTCTACATATTAAAACACAAATCAATACAACTATCTTCAATACCACTATCATGAGGTCAATACAACTATCTTCAATACCACTATCATGAGGTCAATACAA